TATTTTAGACCAAATTTGACCAGGCCATACAACATACGAGTTCAATATCCGTCTTTGTTCTCCTTTATCACATAGCAGAGTAACTTGTTAAATCTATAAACCTATCCCTTTGGTATTCATTTTTGTGTATTTCGCCATCACTGCCATCACACAAGCACATGGACAAACCATGCAAAGTAATTTATTTATTGTATTTGCAGTTGCCGGAGATCAATTCAGTGGAGGAAGACGAGGAGAATATTTCTGACAGAAAACAAGCCAAGATATTTGTAATTCAAAATTGCGGTCTTCTTCTTGGCTGGGCAATCATGATAATACTTACTTTTGTTGAAGCACATTTACAGTTAGATGAATAGTTATATCATAACTATTTTGAACAACATATGTAAATTATATGCAAATCACCTTTAGAGTTTATAACTTTCTCACTTTGGTGCTTGGTCATTTTAAATTGCAAAAATTGGCGTTCAGACTGTTATTTTTAATGATTAGACGAAAATTTAAAACATGTTTTTTTTTCTACAAATTTTTAATCCGCCAGTTTTACCGGGAATATTGCCCTTGCGAAATTCCGAAACATTTTTAGCTGTGTTCCAAATGCATTCATTAGCAATTGAATTGTCTAGCCACATGGAACTGAAATGGTTATTGTGGTCTGTATACAATAATGTATAATCCGAATGTACACTCTTTCTTTTAATATTAAACCGCATTTCAAAACAATTGAAAATCTATGACAGTATTACGGCAAAAGACTTTATGAGGTTATCACCTGATATCATTTGCTGTAGGACTGTTTCATACGAGTGATGCCACGTGACCATATGCTAATTAGCATGACGTCTTACCGCGTCTAACAACGCACATTTGCAGTTACGGTCCGCTGATGGTTTTCGAATTAGATAGAAATATTACACATCTTAGCAATGTTTGTTTTAAAAATTAACTTTCACTCACCATTACCATGAGTTATTTCCTTTGCACCCTGCTGGTGATTGCTGTTACTCGGTCTGATATTCTCCTATCGCAGCGATAAATATGGTACCATTGTACTAAAGACATTTTTTTACTCAAAAAGTTGGGTTCCAGGTTATGTCAGCTCATCAGTAAAATTCAGTGCAATTTACTGTACCATTTACACTTATAGTAAGTTGTTTTTTTGATATGTAATTCATCTTGACATTCCATGTGTGTCCATTTTATAATTTTATTGTACAATGTCA